ACGTTGATTTCTTTGCTTTGGTGCATGTTTCTAACGAAATTGTATTTAATATCAACATGTTTTAATCTACGATGTTCCCATCGGCTTAATAGATGAATCACAGATTGATTGTCCTCAAACACTGCAATGGGATAGGCACTATTCACATTAAAATCCTCTGAAAATCCTTTTAGCCATATTGCTTCCGTCAAAGCTGTTGCCAAAGCAACATATTCTGCTTCAGTAGACGAGAGGATGATTCCAGTTTGCTTCTTCGTTGACCATAGAGCCGAAGGCCTGAAGAAGAAAGCCAGTAATTGACTTGCGATCCTTGTCTATAGTCCAATTTACATCTACGTAGACTTGAAGTAGTGTTTTTGGATCTTAAGTCTCGTTTGAACAGCAGTCCATAGTCGAGAGTACCTCTGATATATCGAAGAACTCATTTAAGGCCTTTCCAATAAGTTAATTTCGCATTGTTCTGGAAACGACTGTAATAGTTTACAGTAACACTTATGTCAGGGCGTGTGTTGAGTATAAGAAACATCAGACATCCAACGAGCTCTCTGTATGTGGTTTTATCTCGATTATGACTTCTCCGTCGTCGTTTTTTTGTTTTTCAGGATTTGCTTTCATGGGTGATTTGGAAGAATTGCACTCCGTCATTCCAAAGCGAGTGAGCATTTTTTCCATATATGCTCTCTGGCTCAAAAATAGGCCTCTTGATGTTTGCTCAATTTTTATTCCGACGAAACTTCCAATTTCACTAATGTCCGTCATAACGTTTTCACTTTTAAGAGCATCAACAATCTCTTGAATCTGGATTTCATCTTGGCCTGCAATGATAATATTATCGACGTAAAGCAGTAGATACAGCCGACACCTTTTGGATGTTGCTATATAGAGACAGTGATCTCGTTCTGATCTTTTGAATCCTAGAGTCAAAATGAACTCGTTGAATCGAGCATTCCATGCTCGTTTCAGTCCGTATAAGGAACGATTCAACTTACATACGAGGCCATTATCTTGGGTGAATCCTTGAAGTAACTTCATATATATTTCTTCATCAATAGTTCCGTGTAGAAAAACGTTTTTAACGTCTAGCTGTCTAGTTTTTAGCCTGAATTCGTCGATTATCGATAGAAGGGTTCGCACCGTAGTGAGACGCGCAACTGGCGCATACGTTTCTTCGTAATCCAGGCCTCTTCGTTGAGAGCATCCTTTCACTACCAGACGTGCCTTGTATTTGTCGATATTTCCGTCTTTATTCCTTTTTATCTTCCATCCATCTATTATCGATGACCTTTCTTTCAGGAGGCAATGGTATTAAGTCCCAGGTTTTGTTTTCGACAAGAGATATAATTTCTTCATTTATTGCATCCATCCACTGCCTTTCATCATCTCGTCCTTGTATGTCGTCAAAATGTTGTGGAACATCTTCGACAAAGAATTTCTGCGCTTAAAGCCAAGACAGTGTAGTCATTTAAATACTTGGGCTTGTTTTTCTGTCGTGAGCTCTTTCTCAAAATCTCTGCTTCATCTTCGAGCGTTGTGTTTCTTCGATTATCGTCTTCTTCTTTAGCACTATCGAAGTATTCGGATTCTTCATCACTCGAGATATCTTATTCTCCGCCTGAATTGGGAGATTCTTGATTCCTTGCTGCTTCTTCTGTAGACTTAAAATCATCATAAAAATCTTCAGACTCGGAAGTAAACTTTGACTCATTAAAAATGACGTCTCGACCTAGTAATATTTTACTACTTTCCGGACACCACAGTCGATATCTGTTCGCACAATAACCCATTAGTCTGCAGCGTTTTGAACGTGATTCGAATTTTCCATTGATTAGTTCCTTTGGAATGTGAAGATGTGCAACGCATCCAAAAACCTTCAGTTTCCGAAGATTGGGTTTTTCTCCATACCAGAGTTCCGCTAGCAGCTTGCCTTTCACAGCGTTCGTTGGGCATCGATTGAATAAGTAAACAGCCGCTATTACAGCCTCGGACGAAAAAATCTTATTCATTTTTTAATTCAAAATCATACAGTGCGTCTTTTCGATTATTGTTCGGTTCATCCTCTTCGCTACTCCGTTCTGTTGTGGCGTATAGGGAATCGTGAGTTCGAATTGTATCCCGCAGTCCTCGAAATGTTGACGAATTTCAGTCGAGAGGTATTCCCTTCCATTGTCACACCTGAATCTGCTCACTTTGAAATTAAAATGAGTTTCTGCCAATGATTGGAACATTTTAAAATATTTGAGCACTTCTGATTTGGCTTTCAATGTGTACGCCACAGTAAAATGAGTGAAGTCATCAATAAAAGTAAGCAAATATCTTTTTCCGTCAAAGGACGTAACGTCCATTGGACCGCAAAGATCACTATGAACCAGCTCGAGAGGACGCTTTGCTCTGATGCGGTGAGATTCGTGAGGGAGGCGAGTCTGCTTGCTCTCCACTCAGGTTTCGCAGAGCTCTAATGAAGTCTCCAATTCCTTCACATCTATTCCATCTGCCATGTTCACCAGCTCACCAGTTTCTTCAATCCGGAGCTGCTCAGATGTCTTAAGCGACGGTGCCACAGTTGTGCTGTTTCACTGATCTTGCAGACATTCGCGGTTTCCGTTACGCTTTCAACACATAGTTCATACAGCTTGTTTTTACGACGCTCGATTGCGGCAACTTTGTCCCCTTTCTTAATGATTCCTTTACCATCTTCAAAGATTACTGAAAAATCATTCATTTCAAGTTTATGAACTGAGAGAAGATTACATTCGAGTCCCGCTACCGATAAGATTCCAGTTATTACTATGTCACTAATTTTCCCGTTTACTCGCGCGCGCACTCTTAAGTTTCCGACTTTATTTGCAGTCAACACGTGACCCGACTTTGCAACGCGTATATTTATCGGCGTGGTTAATTTCCGCATTAATTAATTTTGTCTTTTCCGTTGATAAGTGCTCAGTAGATCCGGAATCTAGAACAAAATTTACGTTTGACACACTACTGTCACTTCCATTTGAGAAAAACACAAAAGCCTTTTGATTTTTGTTACAGTTATTATCAACCGCGGCATTTGCCGTTTCCGAATTTTTATCTTCGTTTTTCAATTTCCGACACTCGGACCGTTTGTGTCCAACTATGTCACAGTGGTGACATCTATAGTCAAACCGGGTACGTCTCGTTCCCGCGCTATTCCCGTTTGAATTAACACTCTATTTATTGTTCGCGTTTCGATTTCTGGTTGAGTTCGCATTCCGATTTCCGGTTAAGTTCGCGTTCCGATTTCCGCGGCGCTTATTTGTCGTAACTGAGAACACGGTAGACGAGCTTCCACCCACTGAATCTGTGCTGCCACCTTGCTTCGCTTCTTCATCCAATAACCTCGTTTTGACGAGGCTAAGAGTTAACTGTCCACTTGACATTGTTTCGAGGGCTGTTACGACCATATCGTACTCTTCGGGCATCGTTAACAATAGATGGCACACGATATCAATTTCTTCTATCTTAGCACCGGTCGATTTCAACTCTTGAACGAGCTTGTCGAACTTCAAAAAATGAGATGCCATGGATTCCGTTGGCGCGTACCGCATGGTCAAGAGTGTTTTTCTAAGACGAAGTTGGCTCGAGACACCTGTACACTCGAAACTATCCAAAAGAGCCTTTCACATGTCATACGCTGTATCTTTCTCCTTCACGTACTCGAGATGACTATCTGAGATACGTTGAGTAATAAGCGACTTACATTTTTTGTCATTTCTTTTCAAGACAGGAGCGGCTGCGGTTGCCACCGGTAGCTTTGCTATTAATGTATTAAGCTCTTCATCGATTAGATCAAAGAGATCATGTTCCTCAAGTAGAATCTGCATACGAAACTTCCAGTTACTGTAGTTGCTTCCATCAAAGAGTGGCACTTTGTACTTTTCATCGTCCGCCATTTTTATCGCACTTTCGCACACGCGTTGTTTCTCAAAACTTTTCCGACTCGTGACTTACAAAGTTCATTCCGCGACTAAATTCCTTCTTCACACACGCAACTCTGGGCCCATAACCTGATGATGTTAGAGTAGCGAGGATAAGGAGTGGACGAAATAAGTTTTATCACATTTCATTCATGATTCATTGAACTGTAATTTTAATATTCAGTAAATGTACGAGAGTCATGAAGCAAGAAGAATATATAAGAAACGAAACTAGAATTTAGAACATATAATACATAATGTAGAGAGAGAGGTTATACATTGCTAACACTTCTTAAACGTACATGGTGTCATAAAATTATGTTCTATTCATGAAATTTTCGTTAATAAATAACTATTTAATAAATAACAAGCTGCTATAACCTTTTGAAAATTATTCAGAAAGATGACCTTGGTAAACCCTAAATGTAAACAAAATAATATGAACATATGTAGGATATAACGAAAAGATAATACAAGTAAGTATAAAATTTCAAAATTGCATATCTGAGGAATGAAGACTGAGGAAGAGATCTGAGGAATAGAGACCGCCGCAAAATTCAAACGCTGTATTACTTAGGAATAAATTTTCTACAATATATTTTCTACAATATGTCAAAATAAAAATTTTTTGAGCTGTGTAACCTAAAGTAAACATTTACTGAATTAATATTTTGTAAGCTAAATGAAATAATCATTATGAAGAGAATGTTCTAATTGTGCACATGTTCAGATACACTATATATATCGACCAAATGTCTAGAGTAATCAGCAGGATTGACCAATCAAAAATCCTTATTTTCAACTGACCAATAAGCATTGTGTCTGATTGAGATTCATCCTATATAAATATATATACAAATAGTTATCTTTGGAATTTAAAAGTATGTATTCTTTAGGTATATTATAATTAGGAATCAAAGCTTTTTAACAGAAATTTGTGAAAATATATTGAAAAAATCTTAATACTCTATATTTGAATTTTATTATCACATCGTGTCACTTGCAATTCTTGCCGCATTTGATTTTTAATAGAATAAAAAATAAAAACTGAATTTACCGTAGACACGATCGCGATGTTGATCCTGGTGTTGCGATGCATTAGTCAGGATCATCGACATCGTAACATCCATCATATTATTCGCAAGCCATCGACAGTGCTGGTGCAGCAACAAAGACACGATGGCAGTTTTGGCGATTTGCACACAACTGCGTTGGTAATGCAAGCACTTGAGGAAGTGGAAAATGAGCCGGCTGACAATTGGAACAGATCTGCAGCACTAGCTTGGCTGATCAGTCAACAACGACCAGATGGTTCATTTCATGGTGACGTCCGAGCCACCGCCGAGGCAATATTGAGTGTTACCCCACGAGGATTGGCCAACATCCGAACTCTCGACTGCGGACAGAGTCTGTCGGACAATTCGCCACCTCGTCTGACCAAGAGCAACAGTAAATCTTTGATTATAATAAAATTTTTAGATAGATTTAAATTACTAGAGTGGATAAAAAAATATGGTTCTTTATTTTATAACTTTTATTTTTATAAATAAATTGAAATTATAATGTTAAAATATAAGCTATTAACTACATTTTAATTTAACTTATTAATTACATTTCTTTGAGAAGATTGATATACTTGTTTTATTTTGAGTTTGAAGAGTCTCTCTTGATAAAAATTCTTTTAATATTTAAACAATAGTTTTGAACATTTCTATACTACATTATTTGGAAATTGTCTTCCTTTAATATGTTTCTTCAGAGGTCCAAATAAGTAAAAATCACAAGAAATTAAATCTGGGCTATAGGAAAGATGCTTCATAATGTTCCAATCAAATGATCATGAAAGTTCCTGAATTTGATGTGTGAGTCAGAGTGAGATTTGACATTACCGTGAAAAAAAAATTTATAAGAACAAGGCCTAAACTTCTCTAAAGAGAAATTTTCAAATTGCTTTCTTGATGATTTAATGATATAGAATATTGTTCAAGAACAGTTAAGCGTTAAGATTTTTATCAAAAGGAAATTTCAAACTCGTGTCAAAAATTAGACAAGTGCATCAATCTTCTTGAGCATTATATTGAAAAGTAGGCTTATATTTTAACATAAGGTTCCATTTATATACAGGGTGGGGAAAAAGTATGGAAGCAAACAATTATTTCCGAAACTATTCATTTTTCGACAAAATGTCTTAGACATAATTTTTATGGTATGAAAAGATGTATTATGTGGCATAGACGGCATGACCTTGAAATGACCCTTACGAGCTGCATACAAATAACGTAAAAAATTTCAAATGGAACTCGTCAGTTTTTGTTACAGATTCTTGTAGCTGATGTCGAAACGTTTACAAAACACTGCATATGAGCCCCATTCCCTTAAAAACACTTCCAGTTACGAAACAATTGTGATACAAACAATTTGTATGCACATTGACATTGCTTACTGATTTCGCATCATGACGTTCAGTTGCGTCCACTAATAACATGTAATTGTACCTGTTGTCATATGATACACTGTCTATGAGTATTCATAGAATTTTTTTGATTTCTTGATCATCGCTATCTTATTTATTATTATCTTTTTTTTATCCTTAAAAAAGTAGTGTCAATTGGCATACAAGTTTCGGATATTGTGTTTTGAAAATTTGCTATTTTTGTCGTTTTCTATCATAGGAATTGTTACTGATTTTCATTTCTGTAATTTCAAATGTTATTTTCACGATGGCCCGATTAACAGAACGAGAGAGAATATCGCTGTTGATGATGCGTGGTTGGGGTGAGAATGAAGGAACTCACAATGAAGTTACAATTTTGTTTAATGAAACTTTTCGAATCGGACAACCGGGCATAGTAAGATCTACCGTTGGATGAATCGCACTTATCTTGTCTTAACTGGTTGAATGAATCGCACTTATCTTCCCTTAACTGGTTGGATGAATCGCACTTATCTTACCTTAACTGGTTGGATGAATCGCACTTATCTTATCTTAACTGGTTGGATGAATCGCACTTATCTTACCTTAACTGGTTGGATGAATCGCACTTATCTTACCTTAACTGGTTGGATGAATCACGCAATCTCTTTCCTTGAGTACGGTTCGATGTACGCCTTAACTGATTCTACGAACTTCGCGTGTCTTTCGTATCGGCAGAAATGATCGAAGCGGGTTAGTCTCCATTTGTTGCAGTAATCGCTACTGTTGTACTGATCTCTCATAATGACGTTCAGTCGCGTTACACACATTCATGTAATCACACGTACGCTGTCTATTTTCAATTTCGTCGATACGAATTATCACAATTGTTTCGTAACTGGGAGTGTTTTTAAGGGAATGGGGCTCATATGCAGTGTTTTGTAAACGTTTCGACATCAGCTACAAGAATCTGTAACAAAAACTGACGAGTTCCATTTGAAATTTTTTACGTTATTTGTATGCAGCTCGTAAGGGTCATTTCAAGGTCATGCCGTCTATGCCACATAATACATCTTTTCATACCATAAAAATTATGTCTAAGACATTTTGTCGAAAAATGAATAGTTTCGGAAATAATTGTTTGCTTCCATACTTTTTCCCCACCCTGTATAAGTGAAAAATAAAAATTGTAGTAAAACAAGGAATTTTATTTTGATCGATCCTAGTATAATAGTGAACAATATTTCAATCTTATATCTTGTTAAGGATAGTTTTGCATAGAAATCATCCTTATAATTTTGTTAAAACTTCTTAAATCGAAATTTATATAGTTTGACCAAATTTTAATACATTTTTAATTATTACTTGAAAAATTATTAATTTAATTATTACTTAAAAAATTATTATTTACAAGAAATCATGTACGAAATTCAGATGAAAAAATATAACATGTCAGTGATAGTTCGCTTATAAATAAGGCAGATTTTTTATAAATAAGAAATCTGCCTTATTTATAAGCGAATTATCACTGACTTTCACTGACTGATTATCACTGACTGAATTATCACTGACTTATAAATAAGAAATCTGCCGTAGAATCAATAAAATTATATAACAATCTCTTGAACTTGTGAGTTGAAGATATCGGGACGTCCGACAATCACAGCGAGACTACTCTGCCATCAGAAGCGTTGGGAAATAACGTAAGCAACGCGGACACTACGGTCGCGTATACTTCAACGCCGGTGTTGGTGAACGTATCGTACACTCTATGGGTTGGCAGCAACGTGAATGAGACATACAACTTAACAGTGACAGCACCCAAAAACGAAACCTTCTATGACGTGATGTTACTGGCGGCAGAGATGTCACCTCATTTCGAATTTCTTGCGTCTGATTGGCCTAACGGTCATTACGTTCACACGATAGCTGGCTACAAGGAAGAGCCAATGTCCTATCACTATTGGCTGCTTTATAGACTGCCTTCGCCGCCAGAGCCTTCCTCGCCGCCTGGAAATCAGCTAGTTGCGCCTGGAGGTACAGATAATTCTTTATCAATTCCATGACAATTGTCTTGTGCGTTCATAGCTTTTATTAAAAATTTTAAAACTTCTTCGTGCTTACAGGTGTCGATAATTTGCAAATCAGCGAAGGAGAGCATTATCTTTTCTGGTACAAGAAGCTATGAAACGCGCGATAAGAATAAACAGAGCAAAATAACAAAAAGAGAAGAGATGATAATGCACAAATGGAAGGAGGAATCTTGTAAGGGACTTTATAAGAAGAAAGCGAAATTATGTATACAAATAAGAGAGAAAAAAACGGAGAGAGAGAGAGAGAGAGAGAGAGAGAGAAACAGAGAGAGAGAGAGAGAGAATAGGGAAAAAGCGCGATCTCGAAGCTCTAGAGCGAGATCCAGTATTCACTGCCATCATTAATTGTCGACACGTAAAAAATATAAAAAAAGCAAAATAAAATAAAAAAATAAGCGCGATACAATTAATGCGAGAAAGAAGAGAGTTAGACAAAAAAAATGAAAAAAGAATTCTCACCCAAAAGAATTTACACTCATACACACACGCACGCGCGCACGCACGCAAGCACGCACACACATACACACACACACACACACACACACAGTTGGCAGTGATTTTTGAAACTCCGTTCTAGTGGCTGATACTTGAAAGATCTAAGGTAAGAAGATCCAAGAAATGAAATATGAATCTCGATCAATATATGCCAGGTTTAATAGCAACGTATACACACATACAAGGTGAGTTACTTAAAATCACCCTAATAACTCCTTCAATTTTAATGATAAGAAGAAATGTTTGAAGTAAAAAATGTTTGTTATCAAGGAAACGTCATGTTATGGAGAATTTTTTCTCAGGTGGAGGTAGCAGATTTGAAGATCAACTTAAAAATTTTAAATGGAAACCCTTATTTCCTATTACATATTCTTGTAGTTTATCTCGAGAGCTCCCAAAACACTATAATTAAGTTATTTTTCATTAAATACTTTTCGAGTTATAAGACTCGAAGTAATTTCTTAATTTTACATAAACCATAAAATATTCATTTTTCGATGATTTTATTTGAATAATTTTATGCACAAAATAATGAGACGAATCAATTGGTGTAAAAAAAACATAGTTATTTTTAAGAAAAAATGTGTTGTTTGCAATTAACAGTTACATATTTTTTCTTAAAAAACAACTATGTGTTTTTTTTAAATCAATTGATTCCTCTCATTATTTTGTACATAAAAATATTGAGATAAGAAGATATTCATCGAATATTTTATGAGATATTTTGTAGTTTATGTAAAATTAAGAAATTACGAAATTAAGAAAGTGGTTCGTTGACGAATACTGATACATCGTTTTATCTCTCGATTTTAAATTTAGTAAGATGTAATGATCTTACAAACGTGACTTGTGCAGTTTACAATACTATGATTTATATCTATTTTTTGATCTTATATACTTGAAAAGGATCACAACCATATGATCGAAACGTCGTAATTAATAAACAAAAATTCTGGCTAGTTTTGGTCGATTACATTATTTCCAATGATCTTTTGATTAATTGACTAGCGATATTAAGATAATTTATTAATTTAAGAAATTACTTCGAGTCTTATAACTCGAAAAATATTTAATGAAAAATAACTTAATTATAGTTATATTTTGGAAAGCTCTCCAGATAAACTACAAGAATATGTAATAAGGAATAAGGATTTAAAATTTTTAAGTTAACCTTTAAATCTCCTACGCCTCTCCATCTGGGAAAAAATGTTCCTAATAACGTTCCTTTCGACAATTAACAATTTTTACTTGAAACATTTTTTTTTATCACTAAAATTGTAGAAGTTATTCAGATGGCCAATCTTAAGTGACTCACCCTGTATATAGTATAGACAACTTCACTTTTTAATATGTTAAACGCTTATGGGGCAAAGTGACTGAATAATACAAATGTATATTTAGAATCTGGATCTAGAATATCCTCAGCACTTTTGCGTATATATGTTATCAGCATGTAAAAACGACTTATTGATTTGCAATCATCTGTATTTTTTTACACAGTTGCATGGGCGGCCAATAAAATCCGTTAAAAATATTGCCACTGTGTTGTGCAACATACAGTCCTAAATTTAGAGTTCATAGAGTCAAGTCGAGATCCGCGCGGTATTTAACGTGTTTATTAAAATTACAATAACCTACGTGAAACGTTTTCTATGACACCGCAATGTGCACAAACATACTTATACTTATCGTAATTAATTTATACTCAATAAAACCGAATAGCAGTACTTGTATTAGCGAATCCACCTCGATAGTCCCTATTCAGCTGTAATTGTGATTTAATAAATACATTCGCAATTAACGAGAATAAGTGATGAATAAGTACACAATCAGTATATATATGTATATATATATATATATATATATATATATATATATATACATGAGTTTTATCGAAATCGGTGAAGAAGAGCGCATATATATATATATATATATATATATATATATATATATATATACATGAGTTTTATCGAAATCGGTGAAGAAGAGCGCATATATATATATATATATATATATATATATATATATATATATATATGCGCTCTTCTTCACCGATTTCGATAAAACTTGCAATAATGACAGAAAATAATTTATAATTAAATTAAATAATTATAATTAAATAATTATTTAATCAATATGTAAAGCCGTCTTTCTAAATAGATCTCAAAAATTGATTTATAAGTAATTAAAATAGTTTCTCCTAATATAACATTTCTCCTAATATAACAATCTTTCTCCTAATATAACATTTTTTAGCACTAATATTAAATTGTCATGGTTTAGCGACTAGAACATTAAAATGATGTTTCATAGGATGGTTTACGTACGGCTAATGCTGAAAATTTTTGCACATATTTTTGTATTTACAATTAATGAAAAATTAAATAAACAAAAAATAAACTGTTAAATAACCGTAAAAAAGTCGATGTAATAATATTTTAAATTTTTTTTTTATTTTTGATATTTTATTTTAATTAATTAATTAATATATATATATTGATTTTTTTAATATATTGGTTTTAATTATAATATATTAATATATTAATTTTATATTGGCTAAATATAATTATAAGTTTTAATTAATATATTGGCATTTAATTAATTAATTTATATATTGATTTATTTAGATGTTTTATTACTTATCAGTCTATTTTTTGTTTATTCATTTTTTGTTTAGTCATTTAATTTTTTATTAATTGTAAATAGAAAAGCAAAAATAAATTTTCAGCACTAGCCAGATGCGAACCGTGACGTCTTACAAAACATTATTTCAAGACTCTAGTTGCTGAACCATGACAATTTAACATTAATGACAGCTAAAATATTATATTATGAGAAGATTCTCTACTTTTAACTGCTTATAACTGCTTAGTTTTCAAAGCTCATTTAGAAAAATGGCTTTGCATATATTGGTTAGATAATACTTTCTGTCATTATTGTAAGTTTTATCGAAATTTTATCGGAAAGCAGCGCGTAGTGTCCCCTTGTAAGTAATTAAATAAGTGAATAAAAAAATAACAAAAACCTCTGACTTATTGTTGCAATGATTGCGACAAAAAATAAGGAAAACGCATCGCGAATCCTGTTCCCTTTCATTTATACTTATACACAATATGTATAATTTATCAAGCAGCTCGAAGTGTAATGTATAATTCCATTCTTTTTTGGAATTAATAAAGGAATGAGTAAAATATACATTCGCAAACCTAAATGATATATTAATTTGTTTTCTTTATTATATGTCCGATATTATATGTCCGATATTAATCAATTTTTCGAACGTTTGTATTGTTTGTACAAATAATTTGCATCATTTTTCGAGTTGTGCGCGTTAATAGAAAATATTTACAGATCTAACGGATTTTCTTTGGCATCATATTGCCTTTTTATTTGATAACCCAAGTAGTAAGCATATGTCATTTTTATGTCGAAAATTGGTCATTGCTTTGATGAGCAATGATATTACATAAATAAATAATGCCTAATTTAAAATATCGTTTTTGTAATATCGTTATAACTTTTTATAACGTTTTAATGACATGCAAAAACGTCACAATATTATGATTAAGTCACTTTTATAGATAAATTTTTTATAATATAATTAAAAATATAAAAACGTCATTAGTTGTTACAAAACATTAACATAAATAACTTATATGTATAAGGAAATGTGTTGGTTAATTTTCTTTATGTATACATATACTTACAAATCAATCAAATTTCTTATTTCTCTGTGTATGCACTATGCAAATTTGTCTGAATATACTCTTAATCAGAAATGTTATAATATAGTGATAATGCAATCATTGCGAGTGTTAAGTTGATCGCACCTTAAATCAATCATGTTGATTGTTCTCTATTGGTAAATTCGATTGAATCATATCAAAGTGTATTTTCATATGACTCGTATATGCTTCGTATTGCGCAGTATGTAAGTTACTGCATGATTATCTTTTTATATTTAAATATGCGTACTAAAAAGTTTATGGTTGTGAATTCAAACTTATTAATTTTCAAACTCTAAAATAAATTTTGATAAAGATTTGATTACTATTTAACCAATAAATGACGAAATCGAAGAACTAACTTAATCGAACGAATTCTGCGAAATATTCATGACATTATTCATTTTGTAATTATAAATGGCAATGTAATTATATTTACATTATCATTGCTTAGTTTTTTTATTATATGTATATTTATTATACCCAACGATGATATAGAAATAACGACAATAAAAGGTCATTAAAGTCGATAAAGTAGACTTGATAAAATGTTTTAATGATCCTAGGATTTTTTGTGTTATTTGCTAAGTCCTCAGAAGGCAAAACTAATTTTCAACATTTTAACTAATTTTCAACTAATTTACAACTTATTATTAAATTATTAATTATTTGATAATTTTATTTTCTAGTTATAACATTTGTTGGAATTAAATTTGCTAATAATAATAAAAATGCTATATTATGGATATAGTTCATAAATCCTGGCTGTTAAAACTAAAAAGATCAAGTTTGGTAGTCTTTTTACAAAACAGTTAACAAAATAAATAATGCTTTGATACAAACCGGACTGGATAAGGACTGGATAAGGAAATATGGGAATTGTACAATAAGCTGAATAGTCTTTTGAATATGTTTTTTCATTGGAAAAATACTGTAAAAAGTTTAAAAATTTGAAATTTTTATTTTACACATACAAGGTAAGTCTGATAAAAAATTCATTACAAAATTTCATTTCTAAATTCATTACATCTGATGGTGACTTTGACTTTGACCTAGAGGTCGAATTTAGTGATCATTTAAAGATCAATTTAATTTTTTTTAATGGAACCCCCTATTTTTTATTACATATTCTTGTAGCTCATCTCCAGTTTAGTAATTGTTGCAAAGAAAACACATAATTGATTCGAAGAAAAAATATGTAATTTGCAATTAACAATTACATATTTTTTT